CGAAGGGCCGGGGGCGGGGCCTCGGCAGCGCGAGGGCGGCCCTTCTGTCCCTCTGTCTCTATAGCCCGGGGGTGGGAGGTGGCCTATGGGAGGACAGTCCCCGGGGCTTCCAGGACTTCGTAACCTTCTGGCCCCACGTGGTTTCGGCTGTTCCCCACCGCGGGGCGGGGCGTTTTGCGGGAAGCTCCTGGGCGGTCCATGTGAGTTGCCCGGGCCTCGCTGAAGGTGGGGAAGGAGGGACCCCAGGGGCACACTCCCCCAGTCTGAGCCTCCGTTTTCCTCAGCTGCCAAGAGGACACGCCGCCTGGGCTTGGCGGGACGGTGCAGCACTCTACCTGTAAACATTTGAGTTCTGACTATATGCCTATCATTAAAAACAGGTGATGATGATCGAGGGATGAATCATTGGTTAATTTGATCATTGACGCCTATATGTGCCTAGCAGTGGTCTGTGGGGTTGGGGATATAGGAAGGAACAAGGTGAGCTTGGAGGAATAAGAGGGACCCCATCAGGAGGGCTGGACTATATTGTAAGGCTTTTTTTTTTTTAAGTATATTTTTATTGATTCCAGTGAGGAAGGGAGAGAGAAAAACAATGAGAGAGAATCATCGTCTGGCTTCCTCCTACACGCCCCAGGGGATCGAGCCTGCAACCCAGCCATGTGCCCCCGACTGGGATCAAACCCGGGACCCTTCAATCCACAGACTGTCAGTCTATCCACAGAGACAAGCCACTAGGGCTTGTAAGGCTTTTGAATTTGACACCACCTGTGCTGTTACCTCCTTCCCGGTCCAAGGCATCTTATCACAACATCTGCAAAGCTGCCTAAACCTTCTCTCTGACCCTGCCCTTGTTCCCAGGGTCTTCCACACAGTGGCCCCAGTGACCATTTTTTTAAAAAAATATATTTTATTGATTTTCCACAGAGAGGAAGGGAGAGAGACAGAGAGTTAGAAACATGGATGAGAGAGAAACATCGATCAGCCGCCTCCTGCACATCTCCCACTGGGGATGTGCCCGCAACCCAGGTACATGCCCTTGACCGGAATCGAACCCGGGACCCTTCAGTCCGCAGGCCGACGCTCTATCCACTGAGCCAAACCGGTTTCGGCCCCAGTGACCTTTTAAAACTCTGGTCACTCCTTTGCTCAAAACCTCCACTGGCTTCCAATTTTGATCACAGAAAAAAAAACTTGGAGTACTTACAGGACTCAACCTTGCCCCGTTCCCCCCCTCTGAGATGGATCCCCTCTCCCCCTTATGCACTTTCCACTATGGCCACAGTGGCTTTCTCAGTGCGCCTGAAATATACAGGGAACACTGCCACCTCTGCACTGGCTGATCCTTTGGTCTAGAATGCAATCATGGGCTGTGTTAACGTAAAAACCATTGAAACCTGTAAAGAACTTTTGTGAGTTTATTTGAGCCAAACTGTCGACATATGCCGGAAAGCAGAACCTCAACGAATTGAGATCATGCTCTGGAGAATGGCGGGATTACATTCGTATTTATACATTTGCTTTCAAAGGAGGTCCGTGGGTGGGTGACATGAAATTCATTGGTGATAGATTAAGGAGGAGGGATAAAGCAAAGCAGAGAAACCCCTGGGATTGGATAAAAAGTAAAATGATGGACACATACTTAGGTGGGTGCAGGATCAATTAACATGATAATGAAGGAATTTGTGGTATCTGTCATGGCGTCCAGCATATTTGGTGGTGCCCCAGGGGCTCCAGAAAAAAGGAAGTTACAAGTTACCCAGACATTTCAAGGGTATGTTATCATAGATGCAAAAAGACAGGCTCAGTTAAGGTAAAGGCTGACCTTGTCAGTGAAGATACCAGCCTAGGACATAACTGCCCACCATAACTGCTTTTAGTTAAAGTTTAATTCCAGACCATCTTTGTGGTGACTTTAGGTCTCTGAGTTTGCAAGACTGTCATGCAGGCCTCCCCTGAACCTGTCAGGTCAGCATGTGGCCCCTTTCGTCCATAGCTGCATAATGACATTTCCGTCAACAACGGACCTCACATATGAGGGTGGTAGGCTAGGTGTGCAGTAGGCTATAGCATCTAGGTTTGAGTGAGTGTACTCTATGATGTTTGTACAATGATGAAATCGCCTAAAGATGCATTTCTTAGAACGATCCCTGTTTTTAAGGGGTGTATGGCTGGATTTCTTTGCCCCTTGGTTCCCACCGTTTCCACTTTTGGGCTTTTTGTTTAATCTGTACTTTGTCCATTCTATCTTCCCTGACCATCCTGTTTAAAATCCAAGGCCCCTGCCCTTCCCTGAGTTATTTTTCTCCAGAACACTAAACATTGTTTTATTTGTTTGTTGTCCTTCCTCCATGAGCATGTAGTCTTCCAGCATGCAGGTTTCTGTTTTGTTCTCTGCTTTATCTCCAATGCCTAGAACAGTACCTGGCATATAGTAGGTACTCAATAATAAATGATCACTGAATAAATAGACATTAGTTAACTCTAGATGTGTTAGGAAACAAGGGTTTCGAAAAGAGGAGTGCTACAACCTGACTTTTATTAGGACCCCTTTGACTATAGAGAGTTAGGTAGGGCCGGGGTAGGGGTGGTAAGGATGGAAGCCCTCAGACCTGCTGGGAGGCCTTTGCAATAATCTGGGCAAGAGCTGATCGTAGTTTGGATTTAGGTGATACCATGGAGAGAGTAGGAATGGTTGGACTCCGGGTGCATACTGAAGGCAAGATTTGCTGATGAACTGTGGCATGTAAAAGAAAGACGTCAAGGGTGACAAAGTTTTTGGCCCTGGGCAGAGGGCCAACCCCACAGCCTGCTGCCACTCCAAGACCTTTTAGGACTGTTGTCAAAGCTAACAGAGAATGTGCTTAGGATCAGCCAAGGTTTATTGAGTCCTTCCTGTGGGTGTGGTGCTGAGCTATTGTTTCCTTAATTCCTTTTACTTCTTTGAGGCAGACACTATCATAATCCGCAGACTAAAGGAGTCAACCATTTGCCTGAAGTCAGGCAGCTCGCTGGCAAATGCTGAAGCTGTGATTCCGGCAAAGTCTGTGCTTATAACTGGTACTCCTTGTTGCTCTCACTACCTTAATTTCTCTGGTTCTAAAATGGGATTTCTCTCCTCCCTTATCACAGACAGAGCTGGCGAAAATGAACTGGCCCTTAGGGATTGAGAGCTAGGTTCTCTCTGAGCCACACTTACTGACTGAGAGCTTGGTGTTGTCACTTTCCTTCCAGCCCCAGAAAAACCCAGCTGAAGTTGAGCTCCCCATGGGCGAGGGTAGGCCCCTTGTATCAGACTGAAGGCTGTGGGTCAGTCAGGATGAAAGCAGGGCCCTGAATTCAT